TGCCGGCAAAATGTCTGGTAATGTACCAAGTCAAGGGTCCGATGCTGGAAACTGTCTTAAATTTTTTGGCAAAATGTAGGGCTAAGTACATTTCACAAAGTCTTCGTATTGCCTCAGCCAAGTTGCCAAAACGAGGTCAAGCCAACAATATTTCCGATTATATGAGATGTACTCAACCTATTTCATTTAATGTGGTAAAGTATTGGTAGTTGAATTTTCCAACAATGATCTGGGAAACGTAGCCTTGTATCCCAAAAGTTATTCACATCCAGGGTGGACTGAAGTTTCGACCTCGGATAGGTATTATCAACAACCCCAGTGGAAGTCGAACGATGACAGTACAGCGTGTAATCTCGTCACGTTAACCAATCCGCCACATTGCAACGAGTCCCCTTCTGCCACAAAGCAGACGTGAATTTCAAGGAAGGCCCGGCATTTTCCCATATCACATTCTTTGGTGGAAGTTTCGATGGAGCAAAGTTATATTTGCTATGACAATAGACTACATTTATTACTTAAAGGTTGTTCGAACTTGTTTTCGAAACATGGTCATATTGATAAGAAGACTTAGAGGAACGCATCTAGTCCGGAGTCCATTGTATGCATGATCATTTCCAAAGTTTAAGCGTGGACGTGGTACATTCCCAAACGTTTCGCCGGCATCGTAGTCGGCATCGACAGTGAGTATCGCCATTCTTAGCACCACACAACAACTTGTCAAAGAGACAACTACGATGCCGGCGAAACATTTGGGAAAGTACTACGTTCACGGTTCAACTTTGGAAATGATCATGCAGACAATGGACTCCGGACTAGGTGCGTTCCTCTAAGTCCTTCTACCAATATGACCATGTTGCGAAAACAAGATAAAACAACGTCTATACATTGAAAGGTTACTGCGACCACACAAAAGGCCACACCATCTTGGTCTTCATACATTAGTAACTCCTCGTTTATAAGCAGAGTTTCGATATTCATCTCATATAACTGATTTTTTAGTGAGTCTCGAGGCTCTGCTGATAAACGAAAAATATTTCCGATTCTTTCCTTCTTTTAACGTAATAAAAAACATGCTTTTTTCCGCTTACAGTCGTTACCACAGAATCAAGCTTGCTGACCAGAGGCAAAATCCAACAAGTTGGGCTAGAAGTTACGCCTGCTGACTTCAATTTCGAGCCGACACGCTCTGTACTGCCAGGAATCGCAGCTTGTTTGGCTCCACGAAACGTCCCACGCGATTCTATATCAGACACTCTCTTGCCTTCATTAATGGGCGACTCGCTGACAATGGGAACCGGACAGATCCAGTTCGAAAGGGCTACGAGGGCGTCTACTCGACGCAAGTCAGTTCAGCGGCCGATTGTGGAAGATGAGGAGGGAGTAGAAGGTGAAGAGGATGAAGAACAATTAGACGAGAACGAAGGAGATAGTGACTACAAACCTGCTCGGGCTTCACGATCACATAGTCGAGCACAAAGACGTCGTGGCTGTCTGAGTTCAGTCAAAAGGCAACATGGAGTCCTGTGCCAACCAAATTGTGTGTCTGCGGAGAAGCGCATCTGCCGACGACAGGCCAGCAGAGCCAATTTGCGACAAAGTACAGTTGCCATGGTATCGGGGAATCACACTGCTCTGCGAGAGGTCAGACACCATAGGGGAGGACGCCGGCGCCGGCGGCGCCAGTCGGACACAAGGCAATCTTCGAGTGTGCAGCGGCTGGCTGCAACTGTCGAGGAACTAGAGCAGACAACTGGCAACAGCATTGGTGAAGTTCTTCGAGAGAGCCTGAGAGCAGCAAGCGCATTAGATTGGAGCAGCGTCGATCTCGCCGAGTTTCCAGGTGATTTGGGTTGTATATAACTCTGAGCTATGAAGTGCATTCATTCTATTTTATTTAAGGTGATTGTTATCACCTTGTAATTTAATTTTCATACAATGATATGAGGAGACCTTACATTTCCATTACATTTTGCAGATTCGCTTTTCCAAAAGATATTCTAATACAGGCTGCAGTATCGACCTCGCCTAGGTCTTATCAAACTCGAAACATGGCAGTTCAGCATATAATCTCGACACGTCATCCACCATGACACACTACCCAAAGTGCCCTTGGATCACAAGGCAGATGTGCATTTTAGTGAAAGCCGGACATTTTTCAGTATCACATATTGTGGTGGGATTGTCTATGAAATCTTCGTATTTGCCATTAAAATGAACTACATTACTTATTTTAGGTTTGTAAATTGCTTAACTTATCGAGACTGAGGGTGTTGATGAAAACTAGGCTAGGATAAAATTACAGTCCATTCTGGATGATATTACCTATTTGGAAGCAAGGCTGTGAAATTCAATGGATACATGAGACCTAATGATTTCAGTATGGGAAAATTCAACTCCTAATCCTTTATCATCTTAAATGAAATAGGATGAATACAGCTCCTATATTAGATCTACTTACAGACGATGAACAGGAGCTTAGTCACTTTAGGTGACTTAAGCTGAATTAAGGACTGATCGAAGGTATGAAGACCAAGATGGTATGGCCTTTTGTGTGGTTGCAGTCTCCTTTCGTTGTATAGAGGTTGTTTGACCTTGTTTTCGCAACATGGT